GACAGCAGCAACAAGTGGGCATAGCTCTCATGTTGTCATGCATTTCCAATTTGGATTTAGAGGTAGTAAATTCAATTTCTTGAATAAGTGGAAGCCAAAATGGGATGTTGAGATTTAAAATGATATCTGGTCTCAGGACAATTTACTTCACTTCATTTGGGTCTTTCTGAAATGGTGCCTTTTCAGTGTGTCTGTCAGTACCATTAGTAAGCAAATGCTTTGCATGCTAATATGCTAAACTAAGATGTTAAACATTATAATCAGCAGCATGCTGATGTTAGCACCGCTGTGGCTAAATACAGTCTCACAGCTGCTAACATGGCGCTTGACCCGTAGTCATGTCATGTTACTCTTTCATATGACAGAATGTAATTGAATTAAAGGACTTTGTAGATCCATATCTGAATGAGCACTTCAGATAACAATTTTTAAAATGCCAAGTCCACCAAAGTGAGCTGTACAGCCAAATGTAGAATGAAGTTGGTGATCATTTTCTTTAATTAAGCCCTCAGGGATCAAGGGGAGGAAGATAGTGCAGATAGAGTTTTAACCCTCCAGGGCTGATTCGTAATGGGAGTTAAAATCGCCTGGATCAGACAACTACCTGCAGTCCATTTCTTTCTCATTTACTCTCCTCTAGCTCTGTTTTTCTTTTTCGGCCCTCTTAGCCTTTCACGCTTGTTCTTTGTGTCTCTCATCCTCCATTGTTCTGTCCTTCTTTGTTGTTATTATTAAGACTGATTCCCCCTGGCAATTGTAACTGTAGTAACGGCTTTACTCAAAGGCTGCAGACCTCTCTTTACACAGGGTGTATGTACAGTGTCATCTACTCCAAAGGTGACATAGGCAGCAAGTCCCTATGGTTTCATTATAGGCCATGATACACGACTACATCATACTTGTTTCAAATCAACAAGTAAGAATGAATAAACAATTGATCCCTCTTAGATTTTGCTTTGAAATGTATCCATATAATGTATGTGAAGGTTGTTTTTAAAGTAGATTTTAGGATGTTTATGGCCTCTAAAAATCACTCCTTGCTGTTACCTTCACAAACCATTTGACAGACTGCGTTTGTGTGTGTGTGTGTGTGTGTGTGTGTGTGTGTGTGTGTGTGTGTGTGTGTGTCTCGATCCTATAGTGACTGTATTGTTTACCATCTAAGAGCTCAGGTCAAGTAATGGCTTATCGGTCATCAGTGGCTTTTCTCTTAATGCTAATCCTAATTTTGTCTTTCTCCTTCTGTCTCTCTCTCACACACACACACACAGTCTCGATCGCTGACACTGATATACTCTGATCATGTTATGTCTAATAATTTACATGTCATTTATGCCCGCAGTTAGTTTGAAAGTAACACACACACATGCACACCTGAGTGTGTCTGGATTTATTTGTTCTTTTTGCACACCAGATTAATATGGATGTGGAATTGTTTGCTCGTCTTTGATGTGTTCGTGTTTGTTTCACACCCACCTTTGTCGGCATGAGTAGCGACAAACTGCAGCTCTACTTTACTGTGCGTTTATGGGATGCAGTTTCTTTAAAATCGTATGAGCTCTAAAATGTTCCATGCGTTATGTATGGTAAACTCAGTAAATCTGGATTAGTCTGTGGTTCATTTATGCCAGCTCGGTACATTTTCTTTACTGCCTAAAAATAATCATTCTGTCCCTTTCTTTTCTGTCTCTCTTTCTCAGTGTCGGATGGTGTGCAAGGACGTGTCAGCTGAGTCCATGTATGACGTTCTCCATGACATTGAATACAGAAAGAAATGGGACACAAACGTCATCGAGACCTTCGATATCGGGAAACTTACAGCCAATGCGGACGTTGGTTACTACTCGTGTATGTCCCACACTCGAGCGTAAACATAAGCTGTTCACAGAAAGCACTCATTTGACACTAATATGATTTGGGGCTGTGAATGGAAGCAGAGAGACGCACACAAAGTGCACATTGATCTCCAGTCCAATGTTTTGTTCATCGGATTTGTCTTGTATGTTAACAGGGACTTGTCCAAGTCCTCTTCGGAACCGCGATGTCATCACGCTTCGCTCCTGGCTGTCAATGGGGAAAGATTACATCATCATGAACTACTCTGTCAAACATGCCGTGAGTGCGCGCGCACACACACACACTCACACACACACATACACTTATGTACAGAGCTTACACATGCTCAGCTGGGGCCCTGCTCATTCACCCCTTCAGTACTCTGTACATATGTGTTCAAAGGTGCATTGTGAAATGCATGACCAGTTTTGAAATGCGTGCACATTGAGTCGGTGGCCGACACGAATGTTGATCCAGTTTAGCGAGCTTAAGGGCGTTGCACTGGATTAGAAGAAGTCCTTAAATATTTGTGGAGAGGCGGCAATATAAAGCTGTGTGTGTGTGTGTGTGTGTGTGTGTGTGTCATTTAAGACTACCACGGCATCCAGGAAGTAATGAGCATTTGGCCACCTTTCCAAAGAGAGAGCACGCTCATACCTCCTGCTTTTAACTGGGAGAATGATTGATATACTGTGTGATGGCACTGCTTCACTTTAAGTGTAGGGTAGTTAATGTGATTCCGTTGAATACGTTGTGTTCTTACTTCAGCTTCCAGTCTTGCTTTTTAAGAACTAGAGTAATTTGAATGCCAAAGGCCAGTAAAGCAAACAGACTGATTAGAGAACGCTGAGTGACTTTGGGTTTGGAATCTGGCCAGACGCCTTTTTCTTTGGCTGTATGAGGAAGAGGAGGAGGTAGAAGTACAATAACTCTCCTGTGTGAAAGATTGTACTCATCACCTCTCTCTGGGGCCGCAGCAACCGTTTAGTTTCATTGTCAATTCATCTTCCGATTTGTTTTTTCAGCTAATCTATTGTTCGGTGTACAAAATGTCAGAAATATTTAAAATGTTTTCTCAGAGTTCTAAAATAAATTCAGTTTACTATCTGATGAGACAAAGGAAAGCAGCAAATCCTCACAATTGCAAAGCTGCATTACTCTATTGATGAAGCAATTTTCACTATATATAGATTATTTTCTGACAATCAACTAATTAACCAAGTAATTGTTTCAGTTGAACATCTCTCAATCTGACTTCCTGTCTTTTCTGCCTCGTTTCCATTTTCGTTTGTTCTCTGGCTCTCTTGCGTTTCTGTCTGTACTCCGGTCTTTGTTTCTGTTTCTCAGTTTTGCTCGCTAATATAATGTTTACAAAAGGATAAGACGTCTCATGTGACTCTCAACTGTTGACTTCCGCCTTCCGCATTCCTGCATCAACAAGTGGTTACGAACATAATAGACGCTGTGTGTGTGTGTGTGTGTGTGTTCCGTGTGTGTGTGGGCATGGCTGTGTGTCTGATTACCACTAGGAGTCGAGAGCCTGACCTGTGGAGTGCAGCTTAAGGGGATCTTTAGTGGAGTGCTGAGTTTACACGTCCACGTCCAGGAGTCGTCCCTTTTTATACTGTGTTGACTCTAAATTAATCTGTTTTCTTACACGTGGTAAATAACAGTTTTTTCTGTCTTTATATTTGGACCATTTTTCAGCAATCATCCTTTGAGAGCCATCTGCCACTTCCCCGTAGTAACTGTCTAACTCGTAAGAGGGGCCTAAATATATTAATATCAAGGCCACAGCTAATGACTACTCTAGCAGTTGATCTATTGAGCACTTTTTTTAGCAGCATAGCTCCAGGGATGGTAGTGCTATTATTGGATGGATGGAATTTTCTCTCCAGAGGATGAAGCCCACTGACTTTGGTGATACCTTGATTTCTTTTAACAATACCTGCAAAACTATAGACATTCCCATCAGCCGCAGCTGCACTTTGTGATTAGTGCAAATATTGGCATGCTTGACCTGCTAAACTAAGATGGTGAACAACATGGTAAACATTGTACTTGCCAGACATCAGCAAGTTAGCATTGTCATTATGAGCATGTTAGCATGCTGACATTTGCGTTTAGTTCCAAACACCGCTCTGTCTACAGTAAGTGCAGCCTCACAGTGCTGCTAGTGGCTGTAGACTCTACTCTATGTCGTGTTAATTCATCGGTGAACATATAAAATGTCAAGAATAACATTGTGAGTTACCGGAGCCCAAGTGTTACACCTGACCAACAGCCAAAAAACACAAAGTTAAGTAAATGTTCTTAGATCAACTTATTTCTGATTATAACTGATTATCAGGTCAGATATGGAGTTTCCTGGTTAAGCGGATGTGTCAAGAGACGCCTCATCGGTGTCTAATGCTTTAAATCCTAGCGTCTCCTGTCTACATTATCTTCAGAACATAATGTTGTCGCTGATTTCCCAGAAACCTGCAGATGTAATGAAAGCTGTCATTGTATTGTCAGCAGAAATTCCTTCAATGTAGCCGACTACTAGAGGTGCAGGCACTAAAAATGTGAGTCAAATAGTAAAGAAATGATGAATCAGTTGTATGAATTTTTCCTCTGATAAAGGTTCTTTAGCCGACTGCTGCTCTCTGTGGTTCTTCAGTGCTCTGCGGTGTGCCTGTCCCAATTAGTACTGGCTAACCAGTGCTATACTTTATCATCATGAATAATAATCTCAGATATGTAGTCAAAGGAGCCCGCAGTGGAATAGTCGGCCTTTACTCCTGAGTAGTGTGGACTGGATTTGGATCAGAAATACGACAAGAATCAGATTGATTGGCAGCAACAAAAAAAAACCTCCAGAATCCTAATGCTTACCCTGCACAAAGTATTTCAACCATTTGACAGATTTGACACTCGGAGCTTAAGACACAATTTTATTTTTTTAAGTCGTGATTTTTGAGTCTTATCTGCTTCCAAAAAATTAAAGAAGATTTTACAGGGTTTCTTGTTCAAGGTTGATACATTCATGCTCTGAATAAGGATGTTAATTCCAATACGAACCCTCATCTGTACATTCAATTTCAATTTCAATTCAACTTAATTTGTATAACCCAATATCACAAATTTGCCTTGTTTATTGTCTCCACAGAAATACCCTCCTAAAAAGGACAAGGTGCGAGCGGTGTCCAATCAGACTGGCTACCTGATCCAGAGCCAGGGACCAACCAACCTCTGTACCCTCACTTACATGGCCGAGGTAGATCCACGAGGTAACTAACACACACACACACACACACACACACACCCAAGGTCAGATTTAACAATAATGAATAAATAGCAGTTCACACAGAAGACTGAAGGACACCGGTACACAAACACACACCCAGGCGCTTCACAGAAAGTTCTAATGAATGATTCATTCCCCTGCCTTTATGACAAAATGAGTCGCCATAGTAACCACATGAAGGACAGAATCTATTTCACTCTGGCGCTTGGCTCCGTATTTAATCCTGAATGACATGACATGACATGTAATCAAGAAAACTTGAAGTCCCTCTTTTATATCTTCCCCACCCTCCTGTTTTATTCTCTTTCTCTCTCACGTTCATTCTCTGTCAATCTCACCCTGTTCACCGTCTTCGTCTGTTCACTCGGTCTCTCTTTGCAGGTTCGTTACCCAAGTGGGTTGTCAACAAGTCTTCCCACTTCCTTGCTCCCCGCGTAAGTCTTTTGCAGATTAACACAGATTCTGTGAGTGAGTTGTCTGTTTGGTGAGGTATTTATACAACTAATAATCAACAACTAATATTCTCTCCTACACATTCCTGAAACATTCTGTTTTCAGTATTAGTTTGTCTGTTTGAGGGTGTGTGCATACTTGTTGAAATAAGGTAAAGATTCTCTGGAGAGCAGCCTGGGATGGAGCAATCTGTTTGTGATTAAAATAATGTGATCTTACCCGTGTAGTTCATCTATTTTGTTCTTTCTAGGCAATGAAGAAGATCAACAAAGCATGTTTGAAGTATTCAGAGTGGAAGCAGAGACACAACCCTGGTTTCAAGCCCTGGCTCTACCCCGAACAGACTACATTACCCAGCATCCCACTCTCTGAGCTCAGCATCCAGCATGCCGAGAGCCTGGAGAATATTGATGAGAGCTGCCTGGCTGAGATCCAGGGGAGAGAAGACAGCGACTAAAGCATACTCACTCACACACACACACGGTCATGTGTTCATACAGTAATGCAGGGTTAGAAGCATGCCTGATACACATCCACAATTAGACTTATGTATATGTGATTCCATATGTTAAGTATGTGTGTATGCAAATACTGTTGCATATGCAGGCATACTAACAGGCACATGTATGTAACCGATCACGCACATAGACAAACTCATACTTGACCAACTCCATCCCATACTTGCATACATAAAGTATGACCTCATACATGCAACATAGATGCACTCACAGATACACACCCACCCACTCACAAGGGGCACCGGAAGCTACTTATTTTTAAATCGGTAAACTCATACTCATTGTAATCAGAAAGTGATATTTCATGCCCCTCCAAGGGATATCAAAGTTTTCTAATCAGGACCTATGCAGGTTATCATAGCAAAATATATTTTCAGTAAGATTTACCATTGAAATGTTTACAGAGTAACCTGACCGTGGACAACTAGCTCTCATTCAGAATATGAACAGTGGATTTCAGAATTATACTCCTTTATCTGCGAGTTATGTATACGATCTATCTAGTAGGAAAACCTCTCAGTGCACCCCCCCTAATGCTCATGTATACAGCAAGTACACATATGGAGACACATCATTAATTTAAACTACATATATACACACACTCTTAGTGTCGTTCTGCCCATGTTGTCTCTCTGTCACTCATTATGTGTCTCCATGACATCTTGTAAGCACATAATAAATATGCAGGTGTGCAGAAGGCAGCTGGAACCCCATAACCTGCAACCCTTTCATATACACACACACACACACACACACACATACATACATACAGATTTTACACATGTACTGTCTGCTACTCTAATTGAGAGATGTATGAATGTATGTAGAGTTTGAAAATTAAAAACATATTCCTACAAAGGTTTTCAAATTTCACTGGTGAGCTGAGTCATTTCTTTTTCTGTGTGCGTGTGTTTTACTTGCGTCAGTGCTTTTGCTCGGGTCTGAGGCTGCTGGTTTGCATGCTGATGCTAAAATATGGTTGATCTGCTCCCATTCACACATTGTTTCGGTGACATACACACACACACACACGAGCATTGATTACTACACAGCCATGATTAGAACAGGGAAACATCATGACATACAACCTATTGATGAACTGTTTTACACTCTTGGAAAGTGTGTATGTGTGTTTGTTTGTATGGTTGCATGCACTCGGCATGTGTGTAGCGTTTGTGTGCGCAGTGGCCTGGATGAGAATGAGGAATCCCCCAATCTGTTGGCATGGCAACTCTGTGATCGACTCGGCACCGAAGGGAGACATAAACCAAGGAGAGCTTTCCTGTCACAGTGGAAGTGACTTATTGCAGGGTGTCTGCCCCTGCTTCCCTGTGTAGGATCAGACTAAGAGCCCGTATAATGTACATGCACCACATGTACAACGGCTACAATTTCTGTTAATTGGACGACATGACACTAGTCTTGCGTAACACGTACTGGCACACGGTAACATGGCTTGTAAGTATGGCTAAAGACCGCATCGAACACATTGGCTACACAAGATGAGATAATTATTTGAAAGTCCATGAAGCTATCTGTGTCTGAGTGCCTCAGTAAGAGGAGCATAGCACTGCATTGTACACGGTAACCTCATATTTTTTATTTATTTTGCATGTCATCCTCTCTGACAGTTCCCTTTTTGCAACATCCGCCTCTGCATATGCACCACCTAATAAATTATGAATGAAGAAGGAAAGAGTATGCGAGTGATGCAAAAAGGCATGAGGTGTATACAGCTCTGGTGTTCTTTCCATACAGCTGCCTTTGTATATAGTCATCCATCCATCCTCAGAGTCCTAATGAGACCTCTCACTCAGCCATCACCATTGTGTGCACGTGTGTGTGTCAGAGGAAAGGGCTGCATGTGCACGAGTGTGTGAACTGCGTGTCCCAGAGGTATCCCTGTATTGTCTTCCACCCGCCTGCCTCCGCAGCAGGAGGAGACGTATAAGCAGCACGATGGCCGGCATCCCTCTGAGTGTGTGTTTCTGCATATGTGTCACACTGCCACCCACACAGCAAGCGGAACCCACCAAGGCTGATAGTCTGGTGATGACTCATCACCAGCCCTGTGCCTCCTTATCTCCTCTCCAACTCCCTCTCCCTCCACCTCATGTGTTCTCCCCCTACTCTGTTGCTCAATGTCTCATCGTCTTTGTTTCTTTTCTCTGTCCTCCTCCCATCTCTATATCATCTAATAATTCATCCTTTCATCTTCTTCCCATCCAGGCCTCACTTCTCCTTTCATCCTCTTTTCTTCAGTTCTTTCCTCTTCTCCTTGTTTTCTCTTCCTCTGACTCGCTTGTTTTTTACTCTCCTCTTTTTACTTTTTCTGAATCCAGCCATTTGTTTTCCTTCATTTATTACCTTCCTATCCCCTCTACAGTCTCCAACTTGTTCATGTTCCTCCTTTTGCTTTCCCTTTCCTGCTCTTTTCACCTCCCTCTCATTCATCTTCAACATTTACTCCCTGCTTCCTCTCTGCCACTTCTCACCTTTTTAGTCACCTGTTCCTTTCATCTGTCACCTTTTATCTCCTTCTTCCTTCCTCCTACTTCCTTACCCAAGCTAATCTTTCTGGCACAGTCCCATGATCTTTAGCCGAGGTCAGAAGTAAAATGAGTAACGTACTGCTGAGTCATTGACTTGTCACACAGTCAGTGTATTGTTCATCCTGACTCCTGAAGATATTACCCTTTTACTCATTGGGTCTTTGGACTGACTGTGAGGGACATGAGGGAACACATTGAATAATATTTGTGACTCACACAGAAACACAAAGGCCACAAAATATGCATATTTCCCCTTCAGCTCTCTAAAAAAAAATGTTTGACAGAGAATATGACAAACTCACAAGTGGGATGTATTTAATTCATAAATGTTTTATGTTTGGGGTCTCCTGGTACATTATTATAAGTTATGGGTTTCAATTTAGTCTAACTTATGACTTTTATTGCATGCCAGCCTCCCTCGCTCTCAATTGCTTTCATGAACTGACTCTACACTGTGGCTGAAATACAATCAAAGGAATCCTCTTTAATAATTAAAGGGCTATTTACATGCAACATTCTCTTTCTACTATAAATCCTGTTTCCCCCTTTATTATTGTGTGTTTTTTTTTTTTTTGAAGTCCTTGAAGTCCTTTGAAATTCTCTCCATAGTCTACTAGGCTCAACATCATGATGGTGAGTGGTTGCCCTCTTCTGGTTCCTATGGGACCTTACAACAAATCAGCAGCCAGTCTGATTTAACGCTGATCTGAATTCCACATCACCCCCACCACCTCTCATACAAATGATTTCTATTCCTGCTCACAGTGCCGACTAGAATAAACCTGTTCATACCACCTGCTGGGATCATGGAAAGGACTGAAACCCATGCAATTATAGCCACCTCTCATTTGGCTTAAATGCTACAGTAACAGTGTTGTTATTTCTAAGATTCAAAGTATGTAAATCAGTAACTGGTGAATTCCCCCAACTAAAACATTTAAAAAAAAGTATAAATATTTAATTTTATTCTTATATTTAAAACGAGTTAGCAAACCTTTTTGCTCTCCAAGACAAATTAGGTATATAGGTCGACTTATATACACTGTAAAGTATAATGTGTACCTCGTAGTTAATTGTGCGTAAACGCTAATATCTCTATGTCTTCTATGACTGTCCTTACAATAGTTTGTGATTTGCAGAGGGTAAATACTTTACACATACAGCATTGTGTGCGCTATGACTCCTGCCAGTGGGATACAGTTAAAGGGCATTTGCGTGAAAACAGGCAGGGCTGTCCAGGCTTTTTCAGTGGTCACATGACGGCCGGACGGAAGTTTTAGCAATTTTATCACATCCACGTAGCCATAGAAACACCGGGAAAACATAGTTGCTCGCCTTAAAAAATAAAACGGTGCAGCGTTGAATGTCAATACATAGGTGTATTTTGAAACGCACAGGCGGAAGTGGTTTACTTCCTTTACTTTAGCGTCACACACACTGCCCGTTCTGAGAGTTGTTGCTGCTTTTTTCATCCGTGTGAGAAAAAAACAACCTTATCCACTATTTGACGGACCTCAGCGACAAACGCCAGTCTTTTTCAGTGGAGTTGAACACTTTGCAAACACTTGAATAAAGGTAAGGGAATGACGAGAATGTCTTAGCTTTTTTATTTTTTTATTAACAGAGAAACTTTTCCCAGAACAGCTGATAAGAGCAGGTCGCGGACTAAAGACCATAAAACCACACAAACATTGGACTCGTTGAAGCAGATACACACTTGTATGCATAGTCCGTCGACTGCTAAACCCAGTTGTGCATTTAGATTTACGGTACTAATTAGTGGAGCAATTATTCCCGACCTTGAATCGGTTAATAATAACTCGTTAGATGTTGTTGTTGTTGTTGGTTGTCTCCATTCAAGCGGAGAGGAAATAGGACTGCTTTCGACGGGGCTTGTTTATCCCCAGTGGGATTCGTCATTTCTCTGGATGAAGCATCTGGATAAATTGACTATTTATTTAATCATGTTTTTTAATAACCAAACTTACAGATGGAGTAACTCGGTCACACCTGTGGGAATGGAGCGTATCATATATGCCTGTTTCTTCACATCATGGTTTGTGACTGTTGGCAGGTGGACTTGTGACAGGTGGTCACACAGGACTAGCATTTGTAGACTTAGAGCAATGATTTCTACACTTTTTCTCAGGTTGGACCCAAACACTACAGCCTAAACAGCTACAATCGATTACACAAACCCACCTCTCTGTCTTGACAAGTGGAAACTGTGATAGTTGTTCTAGTTGTCTTTGCTAATCCAATCTGTGGTAAGTAGTTGCAGGGGAACGTAGACTTTTTGCATGGGCTAAAAGCCTCGTAGTACAGTACATTTTTGTGCACAGTTCAGTAATCTCACAGAAGCAGCATAATTGTGTACCCAATGATGTCTGTTCTGTTATGTTAAGCAGGGCATACGGCTTCCTAGGACCATTTACAAGCACTTAATTAAAGCACGGATCAAATAACCTTTGTATTGCCAAAGAGCAACACAAAAAAAAAGACTCATATTCACATGGGAGCCTGGCAAAAGTAGCTGTCAAACAGTACCATTGCCCTACTGACCCTGTTTTGTCCTGTAGAGTAAACTGGTTATTAGTGAGCCTGTGACTGTCTGTTTTTGGCTTTTAAGCGCACACAGAGCAACATTATGTTGTGTTGTTTTTTTCAAGGCACGGATATAAGTGTGATTTTTTTATTTGTTTTTGTGTCTACCAGTAAAAGAGGCAAACTATGCTAAATGGAGCTAACTCACATCTTGTTTTAGATGGCTTGTTCTTCTACCGAGGATACATATGCTCTGAATTATTGATCAGTCCTCAAGTTGCAGCTGAAACTTTGTCTGTCTGTCCCTATCTCTGTCTTATCTTGCATCTATCACTTTTCTGTCTTTTTTTCTTCCTCTCTCTCTCTCTCTCTCTCTCCATTTCCTTCTGCGTCTGTCTCATACACTCACATGATTACTCGCTACTGAATCACTCCCCACTGAGGTGAGAGGGAGAGCATCTCTGTGGTTCAGAGGACGTGTGAAGCCGCCTGCAGGTTGTAACAATTACACAGGATAGGCTAAATGGAGAGCCCAGTTGTGCAAGAAGTTAAAATTACATTAATTCAGCTTCAAGACTACATATTCAGAGGGGAAGAGAACGTGTCATTTGGTGATGAGTTTGTACTAGGGATGCACACATTCAAATTTACAGTTTGGTACACCTAGCCAAACCTTTTTGCAGTAAACCCTACGTGCATGAAGGATATCATTTCCAGTTTTTGTTGTAAGTTTGCGGTGCTGTTGAATAGAGCGACTAAATCAAAGCACCTCTTTGTATATCTCTGTGTAATTTCTCAACATTTTGAAGGATTTCTTGTCAGTGATTTAGTCCAAGCGATTTTATTACTAGGCATTGTTTTTAAAGCCGTGCTTAATGAGATGTGTACGGGTAATCATTTCCAACATCTGGGTTTTTTCATAGCTGTCAGAGAGTCAAAACTTTGTTGCTGCAGTGACTTAAGGAATGGCCAGTCGAGAGAAAAACAAGATACTCCGAACCTATTCTGTTGCAAGTTTGTAGTATACACACACTTTATACTTGCGGTAATATCAGTTCACGTCCACCATGGCAGGAAAACATTGTGACCCGCAGAACATCATACTCATTTAATTTAAAAGTTGTTGTTTTTGTCACAGGCTGAGGACTTTGGTCCCATCAAGGGACTCGTAGGTTCAATGTGGCCTGTGTGTGGGTTACCATGGGAAACGTCTTTCTGTGACGTGTTGCACACACACACACACACACACACACACACACACACACACACACACACAGGCTTGTTCACTAGAGGACATTGTTCAGATGCGTTCCTTTACTGGCAGGACTGAGTCACTATTTAGTTCTAATTGAAAGTGGGCTGAAAGCAGCTGTGTGTCTAGTGGATGGTATATGAGTCATGTCCCGTGTGTGTGTATATGCGCGTGCGTGTGCATGCGTTTTGCTTATCCATAAGTCTGGAGAGGCACCAGAGCAGAAACCAAAAACTGGTAGCGTCTGTTGAATATTGTCACAATTTAATTTTCGACTTAGTTCATCACGTGGCTCCAAATTAATGTAAATAGAAACAGTAGTGCAGTCTTGTGCATTTTATTTTTCAATGACCATCATGGAGGAATGCAAACAGCAGCAACAAAACAATTCTCTGGGCAACATGGCCAACAGCTTTACTTCAAAAATTTGAAATCAGGAAAACCCGTTCCACTAACTTTGACTGTGTTTGAGCACCAAGCTTCACTGATGTCAACAGAGTCCACCTTTAAAACAGATACAGTAATAGATATTTGGGAGATATTATTATTTTTTACATGTACTGATAAAAATGTTTGTAACCGTTGCAACAAAAGCCCCCAAACTGAATGTTACGGTTAACGTAAATAATGTGTCTTTACTACGCGGCCACCAAGATGTTCTACATTTAGTTCTTTGGGACCAAGATATGTACTGAGTGTTGCATTTTAAAGTTAAGAAAATGAACATGTTCGTGCCCTCTGGTTGACATACTATGTGATGGAGACATTGTTTCTAAATGTCTCAAACATTCAACATTTCAGTACCGGCATTTCACTTAACAGCAAACATAATCTTTCACTGGTATTTCTACAAGTACACTCAAACTAGGATATTCATGTGTCTTAGTAACACACCATGATATTGATGCCAGTGTCTCAATCACACAATATTGCGATTATATATTGTTAATCTACCCCTCCCTGTGGTTTTTGGCACACATTAAAAGATGTATTGGGCTCCAGCCTTATATGTACTCTCACACAAAGGCCTTGTTGCTCTTGAAAGGAAGGGTTAAAGGAAACCGTTACTTGTTTTGGAGTATTTCTCAAGACTTCACAGTCGAGGGGTAGTGTAGAAAGACAGCTGGACAGCATACACAAACTTAAGTACATTACACATTATCGTGACCATATCGTCGTCATTCAGCACCCTTTGCAAATTAAAATGGTGTTTACGGGTTAATAAGACCACATTTTCCAGGATATCAGTATAACCGATGATGATCATGCCCGTGTCTTGGTACACATAGAATTTACAACATTACGACATGACACTTGTGCAATGCGGTCAGTGTTTGCAATACACTGAGTGGGTATGACTTAAGGAAAAAATTGGCACTATTGCATTTCACTATTATTACAATTCAGCCAAAAGTCTATAGTGCACAGTGCACTGCAGTCAGTGTAATTTCCATTAACAGCATAACGTATTTCTGCTATCTAAGTAAGGCTATTTGTTTAAGTCGATGTGTCTGAGTAGATCTAAACATTGTGTTGATATTTATGGCTAAAAAAAATGGTTTAGCATTGTTTACTGTGCCAATAGCCCTTAGAATCAGTGTTTTTGTGATAATGCATATGCTGTCTGCTACATGCAGGTTAGAGTTGAAGTGACGTATGCACAGACTCTGGCAGTGGAATTACAATAAAAGTTCTTAATCATATAACTCGTCATCGCCTAGTAAAGAATATGTGAAAGGTTTGAGAAATACTTTTTTTAAATTTTTTTTTTAGCCTTGTGACATATACTGCACGCTGTTAGTTGCAACTTTGTCACTATGGATGTGTTGCATGAGAGCAGGAGATGATGTCAGTAACAGGCTAAGTTGTTGTCTCATAATAATAATAATAATAATAATAATAATAATATATTAATGGAAGATCAAGTTTGTTTGATATTTTACTTGTTGTTGTGTAAATGTAAACTCAGTCCAAAAGGTAGATAATGTACCTCAGAACTGAGGACACTGACAGTAAGCAGAGTTGAGCCTGACATCAGCCAGCACTGATCAGCGTGAACAGAGCAAATGGAACATCCTGGCTCTCTGTTTGTGTGTCAAATTGAAAGGGGATGTGAGCCTCAAACAATTTCTGAGGCCCCACCGCCCCTACCAACTTCACACAAACAATGTTATTAGGTGAGCACTTGTGTTAGAAAGTGTGACCAGATTTGACCAGTGGGCCCCCACCATGCGTTTCCCTCCTTCATCTCAGTGTGCGTGTATTTTGTGTGTTGTGTGTTGTGTGTGTGTGTGTGTGTGTGTGTGTGTGTGTGTGAACTTTCCTAGGCAACAGAATGCTCCATTGTGAAGGCAGCACAGAGACCCTGTTATTGGCGGCTTTCTGAGTGGGAGGAGGGAGCGCAAAGCAAGAGGGCGAGAGTGGAGAGATAAATAAATTGAAATGTGCAGAGAGCAAAATGCTTTTTTGAAAATATCCTTGTTTGACACTTTACCGACAGCCAAGGTGAAAAGATCAATATCAATTTTATCTCTCTGCATTGAGTGCAGAGAAAGGTCCGAGTAGTGTTTTGCGGAGCGAAGCACAAACACAGGATGCAGGTCTGTCAAGAGTGAAAGAGTAGTCGTTGCTACATCTCCTAAAAGGTTGTATCTACATGATACATCTTAGGCAGCAAACTAATCATCAGTACATTAAAGAGGCAGCCAGGTTTTGTTCAGAGTTAGGACACCTGACAATGTAAAACTAGTAATTCTGATCCTGGATCAACTGAAGGATGTGGGCCATGAAAGTAAGTCTTTTGGATGGAGGACCTCAAAGCCAGGAGGATGAACTTGCACTTTTTTTTTTTTTTCCAAGGGAGGTTGTTTGCCTCACAGAGACCAAAACAAAAGGCGTGTTTGTTAGCTGTTTGGCCAGAAAGTTTGAACTATGTGAGTGTGTAAATAACAGTGGTAAACTGGAGTTTTCTTGTGTTTCATGACATTACAATGCCTTATTTATACACATGATGGATGACTGGCAAACAATTCACAGAGATAATAGTAAATAAATGTCCACATAATAGACCCCATAATGCCTTCAATCCAGTTCTTGCCAGATGTGGTTTTGAATTTGAGCATTTATTAAGTCGCTATAATATAAAAAATGCAGCACAAAGGATGCTCAGAAATACAATTTATATACATTTTCTCATGTTCATTAACCTGCCTGCAGTCATGTCTTAAAGTGGTGCTCCTTACATCTGGTACTGTAGGAAGTTTTGTGTCCGTATTAACGCGGCATCTCTTTAAACTGTTATGCAGACGACACACAGTTGTACGCTACAGTTAAGCTTAGTTTGTTGGGTTCTCTACAGGATTGCTTGGTTGGTCAAAAAACAAATGTCAAAATCAAGTCTGTTGCAACAAAATCGCAATGTTCTCAAGGTTTTTATCACCTTAAAATATTTAAGTAAAAACTGCTTTACATTTTGGAGCCTCAGAGATTATCTGGCATGCTTTTATCTTGTCACTCCTTGGTTATTGCAGCAGTCTTGTCACTTGTCTTAGTAAAAAAACAACAACTTTTGAGCGGCTACAGATTGAAGAACTCAGCTGCCTGACTGGGTGTTATTCAAAGAGAACAGTTTTCATTATTATTTCTCACCCTCTATATTAGCGTTTAACACTTGTGCCTCATTTCTTAAAGACGCCCACACACACACACCGAACGCACACACGCACACACACACACCGAACACACAAGGCTGATTAAGGGCTTTTCTGAACCATAGTGTTGAGGTGAAAATGTGTGTTTGGTCAAAGATGCTGAGTCCTGCTACTTAAATGTGTGCGTGTGTTCAAATGTCATATTTGGACTTTTGTGCGTCTCCAATGACGGTAGACGACCAATCGCACTAATTTATGGTGTGAGTTAAGTTCCTCAATTCAGAAATAGGAACTACAGTTGATCAGAGTGTAAGATTCACCCTGTCCCTGTGCTCTGTGGTATCTGCCCTGTCAGAGGAAGCTTTTGACAGGAAATGAAATGTCCTCATTTGAACACACTCGCACACTGGTGAGTAACCCATCTCGGTCTGGTCTGTGTGGGTTACTGTGTGCTCGCTCAGCCTCCTCCACCCTCACGTCTGGCTACCAAATGAAATCAGGTCCATGTCATATTTTTATTTGTTGACTATTTTGCGTGATCTGTTGCTTTTCAGTCAGCTAATGCGTCTTCTGTACAGTTACATTTAATCTTTTCATTTTCAAGTTTAACCATTAAAGTTCTAAACTAGATTAGGCCAATTAAAAGTTGCATTCAGAGTAACATTGATTGTTTTACATGACATCATGACATAAAGATGTATCAGCCTGTTTCAAGTGTAGTTTAGGCTGTGTAGTTTCTTAAGAGGCTCCCTCTAAGCTGTGATGAAAGACTGTTTGTGTCTCTGTCTGGGAAATGAGCAGCTTCCCTTGTGGTCAAAAGCACCAGGCAGAGATAAAGTGTTGTAAAAGCGGTCGGTGTTATAATTAATGATTTTGACAGCAACAAAATAGCTTTTGGAGGTATGTTCCAAACGTGTTACACCGTTTAGAATTCATTTTTGCTCATGGTTTTGTCAAAGCTCTAAGTTTGTGCACCACAGCGGTCCTCACTGAGCTATTTGCTACGGTCGGGCAGGTTTCGCCACATGTGAATGCGGACAGCTGGCACTGCCTGCTGCTTGCTGATTAAGGCCTGGCAGTGTGACTCGTCTGCAGAACTTAACTCAAATCTCAAAAATTCTAAAATATATGCTAAATGTATACTGCATTAGAAAACCATAACCTTGAGTGGATGGTACGTTAAAGAGAGTGCTAATGGAGAGGAGTGGGGATGCCTTGTGGGAAGCCAATCTCGAATCCACTTGTGCAGCATTCAAGTGTGTGTTGAGAGATGTAGAGAGAATTGAGGGAGTCTGTGTGAACGTGCTGTGTGTGTCAATACTTGTGACAATTGCACTTCCTCCCATAGCGGTCTGCTGTGTGATAGTTAACTGTTAGCTGTGTTAACTGCTCAAAACTAATAATATATTTAAGTATGTAATAAGTAATTCTAAAGATGTGTGTTTTTATGCGTGTACAGAGATTAGTTTACCTTAAATAACACATTAAGTAGGGAATACAGATCTAACAGCAGCTTCCTTCTAAGTCACTCATAATCAGATTTGATCACCTGATCTGTGCAGCAGTTTATGAATACACGATCCAAAGTTTGATTTATCCGTTCAAGTGCTGTTGAATTCGACAGAGCTTTTAAATATGACTTGTTGCTAGGGGATCTGTCGAGGCATTAACGCAACTTCCTTTTTTTTTCCCCTTCCTGACAACAGTTTATCACACACAACTTTGACAGTTGACACTGCCGTTTACAGATCATAAATAGGGCCAACTCTTGGATGTATACTATTGATTATTAACGGAGCAACATATGACATTCAGAGCATTAATATAGCAGAACACAACGATATGCTCTGTAAAGACATAGTGATTTTATGTGTACCTGAGCAGAGAATGAAGTGCCTCTCCCTATGTGTGTGTTGTTATCCAAGCTTCCCCTCGCTTTGTTGACAAAGCCGGGCCGGCCACGCTTGCTTTTAGTGCATGTTTGTGCATGATTGTGCACGTGAGCGTGCCCCACTGGTTAGCTCACGGCCGCCACACTGCACTGAGATCATATGCCGGTTACAGCTGATAACGCAGTCCCGACCAACAGTGTTGCTGCGGAAGCGTAGCACCCCTCCTCCGGTTCACCCTCAGGTAAACACGGTTAACTCTGTCAGCATGTTTGCCGTAGTTCGTACTGTTCGTACTGTCGGCACCATTAGCACTATTAGCTACAAGCCGCAGGCTCAGGCGTCGCCATGTTGATTTAATCATCACTTGTTTCCTTTTAGGAATCAAAATTATTTCTGCACTTTTGCACCACAAAACGTTACCCAATGCAGGATTTCTCAAAATAGTGCAGTTTGTAGGAAGTATTTTTCATTATCTGGTCTATAATCGGACCAATGTGACACACAATGATCCATTTTCAGGAACTAAAAAGTCAAAAGAGGAAAAACAAGAGATCATCTTGTGGTTGATTGCACCAAATGCCAAATCGGACCAGGGGCAAAAATGTGTGTGTGCCCTCCTCGCTGAAGCCACAACCATCCTCGACCTCAACCTTAATTTTGATCTCAACTGCACACCTGTAAAATTTCGTGACTGCATCTTACACGGTTGCAATGCTATCACGTGACACATAATCCCCTGGCAAAATATCCAAAACATGCCTCTGTAGTTCCTGCTACAGTAGGTGTCTCCGGGATTACATTTTGCCACGATGACTCACACACAAGCTCACAAGGTGAAAACGATACCAGCGGCGCTGTCGTTGCCGGTGAGATTATTTGTTTGGAGTTTATGAATGCTTTTCTTTAATTGATACTCTTGAAAACTGTTGGTGTTTTTGTTTCTCTCCCACAGGTTGTGTAAGCCATGATCTGAGGAGTTAAAGTCAACTTGTTCCCTCTGTGGACGACACAGACTCGCCCTCCCACATGCTGCACTCCCACACATCAGTCATGTCTCAGTCTGAACCCACTAGTTACACTGTGTGGGAGTGGTTATGTGTTATTCGCCTGGAGCAGTACTCTGAGGCATTTCTGAGTTCCGGGCTGGCAACATTCCGACAATGTCGCAGCCTCACACCAGATCAGCTGGAGCGCATGGGCATCACCCTGCCGGGTCACCAGAGACGCATCCTGGCCAGCCTGAACAAAAGGCACGGGAACAGCGACACACAATCTGACACACACTCTCACCTTGTACCGTCTGAAGGAGATCAGAGATTGGAGGAAACGGGACACGCCAAAGCGTTGCAGAGAGAGAGACCCGTGCCTATCCCAGTGGAGGAAAAACCTGTCCTCAAGGAAAGGGGGAAAAGAGACGGAGAGACATTGAGACCTTTACCCAGGGAAAGAGAGAAACCAGTCCCCAGGGAGAGACAAGTGCCCAGGATGAAAGAGGTAAGTGGAGAAGTAGGAGAGAAGAGGCCGGTTCCTGGACAAAGACAGACAGCAGCTAGAGAAGGAAAAGTGGAAGAGAGGGATGGAGGAATAGATGGAGAGAAGGAGAAGCCTGTGCCCAAAGAAAGGACTCGGTTTCGCTCCAGTGCTCCAGTGGAGTGCGACCCCAGCCAACTTGTCTCTCCAGCTTCTGATGCCCCTTTACCCCCTGTCCCTCCACGAAGCATCCCCAACTGTCCTCCACAGTGCTTCACCTCCCCCCTCAGCCCCTCACCTCCTGCTCGAGCCCCTGCCTCCCCCAAACCGGACAGACATGCGGTTAAAGCCCCAGCTGTACAAAGCAGATTCCAGTTTTCCACCCCCGCCAGCTCCCCCACACATGCACCTCTCCACCCTCCCAACTCCCTCTCTGCTCAAACTCGGCCTCAGACGTTAGCTATTCAGCCCCCTGCCCATCATTTGGGTGGTGACGGAGGAAGAATAACTTCATCCGTCTCCCGAACTGTGTTCCTCAGCAATGACGTAAATGCTCCACCTCTCCCACCAAAAGCAGGGGCGGTATCTAAAGGCCCTCCACCAATCCCACACCGGTAAGACTACTGTTATTTTATGGATATGGATGCAGCTTTTAATGAGTGTTTGCTTTATGGCTGTCTTATAGAATACTTGTGACATGTATGTGAACAAGAGGACAGGAGTGTGACCGCTCCTGTCCTTTTTTTGTGGATTTAAAACTACTCTTCTTTCCCTCTGAGATTGCCTCTATCTATCATTTATCAAAATATATGATTTAAGAGAAAAACATAACAGAAAAACTTGAGATATTTTTCACTCGTTGGTCGCTCGACCCTGTTTTCAATGGGCCTTTCTGCTACAACAGGACAGGGTTTGAGTTTTTTTTTTTCCCACCCTATTTACAAAGTGAGTTTTAGTAATATTCTGTCCCCCTGAGTGTGTGAGGCTGCTGTATTGAAGGCAAGATGACAAAACGTATGTAAGTGAATGTTTGTCTGTGTTGAGTTATATTTAAAGGTCAAAAATGTCACAGCTGTAAACGTTTGTTAGTTCTTAGACTATTAGGATTGTGCTGCCACCTATTGGACAAGATGGAAAAATGCAACTCTGCTAACTTTAATAGCAGGTTAGACACCAAAAATGTTAATGGTGGCTTTTAAACACTTCCTGAAATCAAAATTAGACACTTCCTGAAACTGAAAGGCCAAAGCCCATTGACTGACGGAGTGGACCTCATGCTCAGTGGCCTGTTGAATACGGAAATATGTGAACAAGACCTATTGAGTGTTCATCTATGAGCAAATTGAGCTGTGAAGCTACAGTCTGTTTGTTTTGTGGTTACTTTACCACATATGTGTTGTTTCTTTGGTGACCTTGTCTCGGCTATTATATTCCTACATTGTGTATAAAATCCTGTTTTTTGCAGTGTTTAGATTTATTTTATTTACACAGGCACTATTGTTTTTTGCTTGTTTGCTCTTTGTGCACATTGATGTGTTTGCAAAATGTGGGTCTTTTAAAAAGCACTTGTGTTTTTTTAAGTGGCTGCACATTTTCCCTTTAAGAGCACACTATTATCCTTCAACAAGTTGCACTGATGAGACCCTAGCTTCATCATGTGTCTGTTTGTGTACTTCCTGGTAATAGCAGCCTATACAAGATTAGGAGCACTTAATTTTCCCATCACCAGTCAGGCTTTAAAGTACTATGAGCATTGCAATATACAGTATATATGCATGTTGTCTGTCTGTGTTTTAAAGGGAAACTAGCTGTAGAGAGAAGGAGGAAGTTACAATAGAGAACAACACAGAGCGGTTAAAACACACAACACAGCGCAACAAAGAGCTTCTGGGAGAATCACAGGGAGATAGAGAGAGTGAGAAATAAAGATAGAGAGAAAGACAAAAGTGATTTTGTTACCAGGATCTACCGGCAGACTTTTTGTAGCCTCTGCCAGCACACATTCACATGCTCTTTTGTTTCATAGTAAGTGTGCTTCGTTGCCTCCTCCCATCTTCTGGTTAACTGGTCATTTCCTCCTGCTTACCCCCCCCCCCCCCCCCCTTCTCCGATGTGTGTGTGTGTGTGTGTGTGTTAAAGATTGTTGTATTGTCATGAAAGAGGACTCCTTTTGAACATGCTGCTACAGGTAAGATAGATACTAATGATATCTCCAATGATATCTCCACTTGTCTCTTCTCAGTCGGTACTTGTTTATAGCATGCACTCTCACCTTCTAATCCCCCTCATCACTCTGTTCTGTGTCAGTGTTTCAAACAAGGAAGCCTTTCTTTACTGCTGTGTTCAGGTTTTCTGCCGTTCCACCTATTTTCAGTGAATAGAAAACAAGGTTCTGTTCATAGAGATGTTATCCCGTCTACTGGAGTTAGTTTTGCTGTTAGTTTCACCTTGACCAGAGTAAGAGAGTTTCATGTTTTAATGATCCTGTGCGAGAGCAGATATCCTGTCCTGTCCTGGGGTTGTTTGAGGAGTTAAGTTTAGGGAACTGACTCTGGTATTGATGTATTACCTGTGTGCCTGTGGAGTACAAAACCAGAAAAATGGGATTTCACAAAGCTTGCATGTTTTGCTGTCACGAAAATCTGTTTTCTTGAAGAAAACTGTGCTCTTAGCTTTAGTGTGAGCACTCGCTATCAGCAATGACATACAGACCGTTTCGAACAGCGACTATAACGGTACGCTGGTTGTGTTTCACAGCGTAGAATAGATTGGTGCTGGTCTTGAATACCCATTTAGTTTGTATTTTAGTTAAAAAAGGCAGCGAGGGCCATGCAATAAACACATGTGAATTCAGAATGCCTCTCATCTGCCAACACCGTAACTAAAGGGTCCGTTAGCTATTGTCAGCTGATGGGGATAAAGTGTAGAAATTTGCCCAGAATGAGTTCACATGAACAGAGTGTGGGAGGAGGAAGGAGCGGTCATTGTTTCTTCAGCCTTCTGTCATCTGTTAGCTAGCAGAGGGTAGGTTAAATATAGTCTCTATAGCTAGCAGCCCCTCTCTCAACACTCTTCCTCTGAGAACAAGGAGGAACTGTGTCAACGGGTCAGTTTCCCCTCATTGTGTGTTATTTTAGGGTTTATTATTAAACAGAGCTCGGGAATAGAACTTATATGAAGAGTCACCAGTTAACTATAAATTATGTTTTGCTTCTTCATAAATGGTCTTTCTCTTGCTGGAACCGAAGTACACAAATAACTAATTTAGAATGTGTATATTGTATAAATCTAGCCATGGTATTACCACATTAAAGGTGCACTTTACACAACAGAGCAGTTTATTTCTGTGTGTATTTGAATTTTGACTTGAGCTGACAGACCAACAGCTGACACAGCTTACTGTAACAGCTATACTAGCGTGTCTCTAAAGTGCATTAAGCTGACGGTCAAGTACTGTCACGTGATTATTTGAGCTTCTCTGAAACCTCATATTTGTCAAACGTTTACCGTTGTGACTTTAAAAAAAATATATAAGCAGTAACTGTTTGCTACTAGTATTTCACGCAGGCATATTTACTTGTCACGTTGTTTCTAAACTAGTCTTCCGTTTAGAGGTTCACCATTTTTGGTCTGGTGCTGTTTGCTGTAATATGCGACTAGTATCTGTTATGTCCTTGTGTGGGTAAAAGCTGATCATTGTGACTGTAACGAGAAGAAAATTCACCAAACGGAGAAATAAAGAGGAACTTTCACAATACTTGATGGATGGAAACCAGGCCTGTGTGCTCATTCTTGACTTTCCCGTCAGCATGGAAATGGTGTGAATAGACTGCTCAACGTTGTATGAATGCATTCATTTCACAATTTTTGAGTGTAGATGTCTTCATGATTAACTAAATGAATAATAGATTAGTAATGATATGAAAAGTAAGCAAAAAAATCTGTTAAAAAACAAGCAGCATATATACTGTATTGTGTGAATCTATATTAGTTTTTATATACAGAATATCTGTAGCCTATGCATTTGATATCATAATGGTCAAGTGTGACTTTGTATGAAGGATATTGTGGATTATGAATGTGCCATTATTAATTGCCAAAATTGGGGATTCACTAACACCGATACTGGTATCCGATACTGTTATTATTAATGCAATTATTACAATAGATGCAGTAGGAACTAGTTGGCTGTAAAATAAATAGTTGGGGGTATTGTTACCATTAAAATATGTCACCACACAGGTGTACAACTGGTATACCGGCACACCTCTACTGTGTGTGTGTGCGTGTGCGTGTGCGCTTACAGCAGAGCCAGAGGTATGCTGTGTTAACATGGAGGTAGGATCTTACAGAGCGAAGCAGGTTCAGACTTGCTACTTAAACCAGAAGTGGGGAGGGAGAGAGAGAGAGAGAGAGAGAGAGAGAGAGAGAGAGA